GTAGTTCAGATCAGTAAATCTGATCGATCCTTAACATCAAACTTGTATATCTTATTACAGCTCTCAGTATTTGTTTCAGAAAATGCTAGTCATCTACTGTATGAACAATGAAAAAAGCTTTGCATGGATGTGACATAGAAAATCTTAACGCCAATTTATAGCGTCTATTTAAATCTCATGGTATAATGATCTTGCCAGTGTGGGTGTCAATTAAGACTGTTTTGTTAAACTGCTACTTTCAATACAAACAATGAACATTTATGCTTGATTTGTATTCATTCTTTCAAGCTCATTTACATTTTGAGCCTTCAGTCAGAGATAAACTACAGTATAACTTCCGGATATCTGTTTAATCTAGTTTATACTTCTTTTCCACTACATGTTGTAAGGATATATAGTAGTTTTTACTCTTCTACACATCCTATACATAATTCATATAATTGACAATTATAGGGCACTTTACAGTTTATATTGTACATACAAAACAAGTTATTGTCTTCGAATATATGATGATTGTTATGTATGGAATTACCTAACAGTATTTACAGCAGTGGAAATTAGCTATAGCTCATTCAACAACAAATACATTATTAATAATTCAAAAAAGGCTCACTTCACTTTTTAAGTGTATTTAGCTAGTACTAATGATATGCTTTTACCTGAATAAGATTTTAAAAGGTGCACTTTAGTGTACATTTGTATTGATCCTGAAGAAAAGATAATCTGAGTGTTTCTTGTATCGCTGTTCTCTTTGAACTGTGTTTTTGAAAAGGTAGTTTTTCTGTCACTATCAAACTGACCACAGCCGATAGCATGTGTAGACAGGCGGAGAAACAAGGCCAGACATGGGTGTGACTGTCTCGCTGACTGAAACAGCCGTCACACGCTACTCCACATGTACACACACAAACACACTGACTAAGGATTGTTACTCTCATTCACCCATCAATTCAATTACATTTCTCATCTATCAGGCCGGGTAACTTCTCCAGCCTGAGGTAGTAGTTTTTTTGTTACTTCCAAGAGCACCCTGAATTGTGACGGGAACACCTGTAATACTACTCCGTGAGGCAAGCCTCCGGTAAACTAAGACTGTGAGGGCTCAAACACACACTATATGACACACACACTCACACAGTCAGATATTCCCTGCAAGTCTCCTTCAAGGACGCCTGGGGAAGACTTGGAGGACAAAAACACACACTCCCTCTCCCAGTGTCTCAGACGTGCTGCACTTCTAATGCAGACAGAAAGCCTCCTCCAAAGAGACTAGGCACACACCAACTCTCTCCCACGCAGACACACTCTTACACTTACACTTTAAAACACAAATACCCTGAAAAACCCTTCCACCTTCCCATCCATGTGAGGAAAGCACGACAATTTCTGTCTGTGTTTTTTCTCTTGTTGTTGCTCCCTCCTGCTCTCAGCTGTTTCAATCTTGTGTGTGTGTGTGTGTGTGTGTGTGTGTGTGTGTGTGTGTGTGTGTGTGTGTGTGTGTGTGTGTGTGTGTGTGTGTGTGTGTGTGTGTGTGTGTGTGTGTGTGTGTGTGTGTGTGTGTGTGTGTGTGTGTGTGTGTGTGTGTGTGTGTGTGTGTGTGTGTGTGTGTGTGTGTGTGTGTGTGTGTGTGTGTGTGTGTGTGTGTGTGTGTGTGTGTGTGTGTGTGTGTGTGTGTGTGTGTGTGTGTGTGTGTGTGCACTGTAGGGGGCTCACTGGGACTCTTTGACGACCTCATTCACTCCCTTCTTCTCCCCCCCGGCCGCACTATGGCCGACATGCCCAACAATGAGGCGGGAGGGTGGGAGTCGGACAAAAACACTGAATGCGTCTTCATTTGCCTGAACTTTTCACACGTCTTTTTCCTTTTGTTGCCAGCCGCCCCTTCACTACAGTGCAGCGGGCCGCTCCGCTAGTTTCCGCTGGCAAGACAGCCAACCAAAGCAGCACTTCCCCCCCCCCCCACCTCTCTCCCCCCCCTCCCCTCCTTTCCACAATGTTAAGCCCATTTTTAGCTTGACATAATCTGAAATGGTGCTTAAGTGAATTTATGTCTACCTCACTGCATTAACTTCTGCTGTTTCCTCTTTTATGTTGCTGTTTTTTTGTAGTAGGCGCAGCGATTGGAGGGAGGAAGAGGGAGGGAGAGATTTGAAACTCAGACCACGGAGTAGACAGCCTATCAGTATTCAGTAGAGAAAGTGAGTGATGGAGGGAGAGAGACGGAGAGAGAGAGAGAGAAAAAGGAGGAGGGGTGATGTATCAATATTCTGAGTAGTGTTTGAGGGCAAGGGGAACGAACAGAGGAGAGGGGGAAGGAGGGAGCGAGATTGGTGGGAGAGAGAGTACTTGAGTGAGTCTCTGAGTGTGATTATTTGTTCACGTATACGCTCTCATGTGTGTGTGTGTGTGTCTGTCTGTGGGTGTGAGCACATGTTGACTATAGGTTGTACATACAGTACATACATACTTTATAGACTTCTTTGGAGATGGTACGCAGCAGAATTCAAACATCTATTAGCAGATTCCATGTTAAATTTAGACCATTCATTTGACACTCCCACCCCCATCACTAAGAGAGGCCAAACATTTTGTAATTCTTAAGTAAGGGCAGCACCCAGAAGATTTTGCCTCCGACAGCCTCATCTCATTATCCAATGTTTTTCCTTAAAATCGAAAGACGGCAGCTCATCTATTAAGATCATAATATTTCTAAATGTTTTAGATATGTTTGCAACAAGCAGTGGGAGGTTTTATGGTTTCTTTAGATGTGGAGAAACCTTTGACAATATCAAATTGCTAGGCCCCAATTCCCAGCAGCATGTTTAGAGTAAAATCTCAGCCTTTTACAACCGAACTAAGATGATCTTAGCCTTAAAGGTGCCCTGCGGAGTTTTCTTACAAACAATTATAAGTGAGAACACATTGTATCGCTGAAGTAAGTTCTGACAATTGTGTTGAAAATGTATTTCCTTCCTCGAAGTATTTTAAATTCAGCATTGTTTACATTTACTAGCTCAGTCGTCTTCCTTGCCTTTGTTGGGGCATTACTGCATATCTGAGAAAGTGTTACAAACAAAACAACCCACTAGTAAAAAAAACAAAGCGTTTTTAGAGGTGAACATCTCTGCAGGGTGCTTTAGGGAAAAGGTGTTTCTTTCTTTATCTTGGTGTCTTTGATTTAAACAGTACATTCATTAAGTTGTTTGATTTTACATAAATCAGATGGCAGTGATGAACGAACAAAGTGACAATCTAGTTAGCAGTGTTTATAACTTTTCTTTGGTTCTTAGAAACAAAGGCAGATGTAGTGTGATTAATATAATGCATGGGTAGGACAACACATGTTATAACTATGACCCAAGAGCCCACTAGTCACATCACATTCCCCACATGGCAGCCAAACAATTATTTACCCTCCTCTCATAAGTATCTGTTGTGCCTTAACCTAACCAAACCTTAACATTAGTGGTGACAGAGTAGATGGATTTAAAGGCACTGTAATTCACCGTGTTTTTATGGATGATGAATTGAACCTTAAAAAGATTTTTAAAAAACGGTTTATAAGAGTTATGACTGTTAAGTTCAGTACTAGTGACTGACAAACCTCAGACTTTGTTTGTTTTTTCAGTGGAACTTTGAGTATTTTTGATGAAAATGAAAGGCTACCCAAAAGGGTAAAACTTTTATATTTAAAACATGTTTTTTTGTTTAAGGGTAGGATAGGGTAGGTCTCCAGGAATGTCCTTGGTGTCCTCCTTACTGGCACGTTACTCTCTGTGTGTGTGTGTGTGTGTGTGTGTGTGTGTGTGTGTGTGTGTGTGTGTGTGTGTGTGTGTGTGTGTGTGTGTGTGTGTGTGTGTGTGTGTGTGTGTGTGTGTGTGTGTGTGTGTGTGTGTGTGTGTGTGTGTGTGTGTGTGTGTGTGTGTGTGTGTGTGTGTGTGTGTGTGTGTGTGTGTGTGTGTGTGTGTGTGTGTGTGTGTGTGTGTGTGTGTGTGTGTGTGTGTGTGTTTGCACGGGACAGGAGTCACAGTTTACAATGCGTGTGGATGTGATGGAATCTCCCACTTGTTTCAGTCATCCCTCCTCTCTCTCTCTCTCTCTCTCTCTCTCTCTCTCTCTCTCTCTCTCTCTCTCTCTCTCTCTCTCAGTCTTTTACTCCGGCTGCTAATCAGCATTTGAAAGGCAGCTTTGACAGTGAGAAAGAAAGTGAGGGGGGGCACAGGGAGGTGGGGGTAAACGAAAGCATGAGACACAGTGAGTTAGGGAGCGAGAGCCAGAGAGAGACTGAGGCGAGGGGCTGTACAAGCATGCCTTTTATATTTACTAGTGACTGAGAGAGAGAGGGAGAGAGAGAGGGATAGCGCAGCTGAAGGCAGAGACAACTGGTGTGCACGGCTTTCCCAAGAGGAAATGAAAAGAAAGAAGCTCAGCAAGGAGAGTGAATGAGTGAGCGGGAGAGAGGAGGGGTGGGAGGGAGGGAGCATGCCGGCTGGAGAGAGAGAGCCGTAGTGAGGGGAGAGAGAGCGAGAAAGAGATTCTCACACTGGCTGTGTCCTAATCCGAGTCCATCTCCAAGAAGCAGCGGAGCAGAGTGTTGGTGAAGTGAGTCTGAGAGCCAGGGAGAGCTACACCAGCTAGCTCCACTCACACACACTGACACACACACACACACACACACACACACACACACACACACACACACACACTCACTCTCACACTCACTCTCACACACACACACACACACCACACACACACACACACACACATACATACACGCACACACACAGAGACACACACTCTCTCTTGCAACGGGAGTCCGAGATGTGTCCGGCTGCACGGCCACCTCTTTTGTGAAAGTGAGGGGATTGACGCTGCCCCCGTCCCAGCCCCCTTGGCTCACACACACAGTGTTTGTTTGCTGTGTTTAAGCTCGAGGTGCTGGTGGAGGTGCTGGTGTGGTGGGGGGGCACCGCCAGGGCAGAGCAGGGGCTCCGGAGGGGAGAAGAAAAAGAAGAAGAAGAGGAGGAGGAGGAGGAGGAGGAGGAGGAGGGAGACAGACAAAGTGGATCAGATCAACAGCAGCACACTGAATGCTGGAAATGCCCGTCAGGTGAGTAGATAATGGATCTAACAACTTACGGTCATCATACACATACACACATGCATGAGTGTACACACACTTTCTCACTCTCTTGCTTGGTAATCTCACACACACGCTGGACACGCGCATATGTACGCATAGTCATAAAGTTGTCATCCTTTATCTGATTTTTGCTGTCAGCTCAGCAAATCTAGTGATATTTTAAATCTCAGTGTCGATGGAACCGTGTGGAAGACCGTTCTGTTGTAACTTTGTTTGAATTTAAACCTTGAGTCGTTTTTTTCCTTTTTCTCTGTGATTAGATATCAGCATGCAGCGCTGATAACTTTTTGCTGAGTCTTATAAGGGACAGAATAGAAATATTGCACAATTATTGCATTTATTCAACAAAATTAGCACAATAGTAAAAAGTCATTTTTTCTTATAAAAAACAAAAAAACGAAGAGCTTTGTTTTAAATGGATCAGTCCTACCTCTTTTTGTGACTTGAATGTAATAAGCATAAAAGCAAAATTGTTATAGAGTTAATGAACATTAATGTTGAACTTGTTTACCTAATTAGACTACATGTTGTTTTCTTCTTTAAAGAACCAGTCTTGCTTTTACACAAAGTATTAGATCCAAACATTTTAGCTGCAAATATTCCCATCTTTGCTTTTTCAGAAAGGACAAATAAATATGTTAATTTTTGCTCTTTTCTAAATGACGGCATTATTAATGACGCACCACTTTCTGATAAATTGTGTGTATTTGTGTGTGTTTGCATGTGTGGTGTAGTTTGAGATATGGAGGCAGAGTGAGCGCCTGCGTGTCCGTCTCCACCTGCAGAGGCAGAATTGGTCACAGTTTACTGGCTTGGTAACATTCGGTGCCTTCAGGGTGTTTGCAGCAGGTGGTCCAAATTGACAGAATGACTGTGACAAACACATAGTGTTCGTACTGCTTTAAAGTACATAACATCTCAACATCACATAGGATTTCTGCTTTTCTTTTTTGTAATTTGTAGATATTGTGGTCCGGCTTGTCACTTGTGGTTAGTCAGAATAGATTAACAGTTACTTAAAAAAGGAGAAAATGTGGGTGCAAATTAAGAGGTAATTTGCAAATATGTAAATATTTGTGTTCCATATGTTTCTCGAAAATCTGTGCTATAGTTATTGCTGTGTTTTGGGCACTTTCAGCAGCATCATTTGCACACACACCTGCTGAGATAGCAGGTGCTTCAGATACACCCAAACCAAATAGCTACCTGCAGTACAGACTCAGTCTTTTTTACACGTCAACCTGATTCTATTAGTAAAAAGTGTTACTGTCTATACTTTTGTGTAATTCAACAGTTTTTTTAGTAATTTACTCAAATCAAGCAAACCATTTATTTTTAGATCTTATTTTATTTGTATTTTATTTATCCTAAACCGTTGGCATTGCTTCAATAAAGATTGCATTCAGAAGCAACTTACATAGCAGCAGTGACACGAAAACAGGCTCCTCTCGTGTCATCAAATGTCCGTGGTACAGTTCATACCCGGCCCACTGAGCCTCTCCATCCGTTCCAGGTCCTGCATGTGCAGGGCGCTTTGGTCGTGACCCACGTTTAGGCCTTTTTATTGGACCCAGACGTGGGTTTCTTCTTCAGCTTTTGGGGTTTAAGGAGCTGTGGTCTGTGCCAGCAGGCAGCTGTGTGACAGAGCCTGACTTGGATTACTTTTGGAAATTGAGAATGTCGGCAAAAAAGTTTCCCCGTTTGAAGGCGGCAGACAAAACCAAGTTGAATGAATTTACAGTAATAAAAGGTAGTATAAAATACTTTTATATTGCTGCCCGTCACAGATGTGCGCTGATGTGTGTTTCTGATTATGCTGTTATTTTAACATCTGGTTTTCTTTACTAGTAGGTTATTTTTCTGTATCAATTTTTGCATGAATAATGCTCCCATGATAGTACATTCATATCAGTAATGTGTAAATGGTTGGTAGACAGAAGTAGTCACTTTTCCTGACTCATTGACAAGTTCTCAGGTAGACAAACTCCTCACATCTCCCTCCCTTCCTTCTTCCCTTCTTCTCTTGATATGTTTGTCTCTCTCTGTTGCTCTCTTGCACACACACTAAGGTGGTCAGTGTCTGGCGTATTGACAGACAGCCGCTCACACACGTCTTGCTCTGGCCGTGCGTGTGCGTGTGTGTGTGTGAGGAGTGTTGACAGACAGTGTGTGGGTCTGTGACAGAGGGTGTCAGCGCAGTGTCAGGGAGATGTGTTTAGTGTCACACTCTGCTGACCTGATCTCCGGTCGGACTGTCCACTCTGGCCCCGCTGTGGCTCCTTACATAACCCCCGCTGTCATTCACACGCCGGCCTGAAGGGATCCTCCAGGCTGCGTGCACGCACTCACACACCCACGCAGTCACTTTGTGGCGTGCACGTGATGTATAGGCATCCACACTCAGTCACTTTCCCTCTAAATCGAAAAATCAGGTGCAAGACTTCCTCACATTGACTCTTTATTCTTCTCCTCCTCTGTAATGTATGCCATGACATAAAGCAGAAGTTACACAAATGAACAGTATGTGTGGAAATAGTCAAAGTGTCAAGCTTTGAGTATTTTTGGATAAATAAATAATGCGGCCAGCGTGTATCCTTGTTTTTCCCCAGTGAGCTTCAAGACACCTACACAATTTGTACAACTTTTATGAAGAGTTTGACTGCTCTGAACTCTGACATTTGCACCATGCTAATTAATGTGTCTGTATTAGCATGTGGACATTTCTGTGCTGGTGTGCAGAGATAGTGTTCTTTCAAGACCTGCTATTCAGCACACACGTGTGTGTGTGTGTGTGTGTGTGTGTGGTGTGTGTGTGTGGTGTGTGGTGTGTGTGTGTGGTGTGTGTGTGGTGTGTGTGTGTGGTGTGTGTGTGTGTGTGTGTGTGTGTGTGTGTGTGTGTGTGTGTGTGTGTGTGTGTGTGTGTGTGTGTGTGTGTGTGTGTGTGTGTGTTGTAGAGAGTGAGTGAGTGACCCTGTGTGCTGTGCTTTGGCCTGTGGTTATTTGGAGGTCAGTGCTGATGTGGTCTCTGCCTGCGGGAGTGGATTTACCATCCTCTGCCTTATAGAGACCTGCATCCACTTAGCTGACTCTTCTGCAGTCAGAGGGAGAAGTTTCTGCCTTCCTTTTACTCTTTTTCTTTGTTCACCACTATTTTTGGGAACACTGTATATGAGTATTATCAGTATTCTCCGTACATACCACCACATCCGAGTTCTTTTGGTGAAAGCACTCAAAAAAAGAAGCTTTTATCAGTGACTTTCCTCTAAGACCTGCTTTAGTCACCTTTAGCCTATGCCTTACATGGAGGTTGGATATTTAACCTCAGGATAGATTGCAGTGCACTACATTTTATTTAGATTCTTAAAGTAATCTACTGTAAGATGTTTTACTTTTTTTTTTTAGTTGCTCTGGTTGAAGTTCTTCATATTGTAGTTTAAAGTATTCCCTATTATGCTATAACTCTTACTGTTGATTCTGCATCTCTATTTTCCTTTTTGAGTCAGTGGTAAACTATTTAAGATATTTGGAAATCACTTGTATTGCGTATTATTTAAATTACTTGACTGTTATTTTTAGTTTGTTTTATAGATGTGCTCCCTCCAAAAGCGACAAGAGCGGCATTTATGGTAAACAAAATATAATTGATGGGATAAAGCATGCATCCTTCTTGAAGTTATTATACTCTGTGTGCTGTCAAATCTTTTTTTAACTATTTTCAATATTGAAAGTGGAATACATCCAGTGAACCACTGGAGAGCACTCCTAAGAGAAAAGGGACTTTTCCTGATAAATATTTGGGAATCTTTTCACAGATACGATCAGCGTCCTGTTTCTTAGAGCCCATGGGAAGTGGAACATTTCTTTGGTGTATATACTGTAGGTTGAGGTAGATGGTTATTATGACAGGCACGGATTGAATTCTGCATAGCTCCACACCCGTGAGGAGTGGACATCAAAGCAATGCTCACCAAAGCCCTCTGTAATAAAAGAGGAGAAGGATATTGATTACCAAGGGTGAACATTAGCAAATCTCTTTCTCCCTCCTTTTTTTCATCTATGTCTTTATCTGTCCATCATTTCTCTCCCTCTCTTACCATCAGATTTGCCTCCCTCTGCCTCAACTTATGCTCTCTCCCTCCCCCATCCGCCCTCCATCCACCCCTCTCCCCCTCTCTAATCATTTATTTATTGCTGATCTCTTTATTCTCCATTCTTACAGTTTAAGGGACGGTCCACACTGTGACTGTCGGACGCTCCTACGCTCGCACAGGCTGTTATCATCATTCCTTTACACCCTTTGCCGAACCCTCCTCTTCCTCCTCATCACCGCGGAGATACCTGGGGGCGGGCGGGGTCACTCTGGTCCAATCTAACGCTGTATTGATTCCATTAGATAATTAATGACCCAGGCAAGGGCCAGGGGGAGCAAAGAGGGGGTGAGGATGATGGGAGAGGTGAAGGGGGTGGAGGAGGGAGAGGGGGAGAAGGCAGGGACACCAAGGCCCTTGAGAGTTAGAGAGAACCTTGGGTTGGGAATGATCCAGAGTAGTCAAGGTCAACCGCAGCCGGCGCTCCGATACGGAAGCAGAATGCCGAGCGAGTCAGAATATGGAATACTGATAGAAAGAGAGGGGGGGGGGGGGGGGGCGTGGGGGTCTTCATGTCCAGCAGCTGTCGATTGATCAGCGGCTGAAAAATTGTGCATTAAAAAGTCTTTTGACTTCCAAATCCTGAGGTCCAACCAGGGCCGTAATGCATGATAAGTAGTATTCAGCCCTCCAAGCAGAATACCAAACTTCATCTCCCTGGATGCATCAGACACTCATTTACAACTACTCAACAACATGAAAGGCAAAGATAGAAAACTAGCTACATCAAATATTCTGTCCGTGTTATTTCAAACCATGTTTTCTACATTTTCCATGATATCGAACGTTCTCAGTTTGATAAAATATTATTCACAGGAATAACTTACATCGCTGTTGGATTTGTTCTCCACTTTTACCTTTAGATAGAGTAAAGACTGGTGGGGGTTGGAAGGAGAGAAAGAGCTGTCTACAAACTGTTATCAGATGCGCTATCACTTGATTGAACACTGAAAAATGACCTGAGTGACTGCTTTATACAGTTTTGTTGTAAGGTGGAAGCTGATGCAAGATTTTTCAGCTGCACCAAACGTTCTTAACCATCCAAATCTGCTCTCACCTAGCAATTCTTTGTGAGAAATGCTACTTGATTGTGTATTGGAGGTGTGGCCGATTGATTATTATTAGCATAGATAAAAAGCAAATAAGAGATTAAATATCAGATATCTCCTTCTCCATGAGGCATTAACAGTGCCTTAAGGCATATTGCAAATGATGACAATATTATTCTATCAATCACTTGAGAAGCCTATGACAGTTTTAAGTATGGGTCCCAAGCATGAAGTTAGTTTCAATTAGTGACGCGTTATAATTATCAGGAGCGAAATTATTCAAAATGATTTGGCCCAAAGGACATTATGATATTAAATACGAAACAATTCCCACTGTATTTCTTCACACTGTTAACTGAAAGACAAAGTGGTATATGTTTGATATTCTTAAAATGACATTGTTAGATTTTTCTCAGATCAGTTATGCCTTAAAATGTGTCAAAATTCAGAAAAATCTTCCTTACTGAGACAAGTCTCTCACCTTCCCTCTGTTTTAAACTGAACATTGCGAAGGCCCCGCCCTGCTCTTCACCTCTGTATGATGGCTGTGTGCATATGGTCTCCAGTGGGCCATGAGAGCTCCTCTGCCTCCACATTCTCAGTCTTGGCCAGCCTCTCTATGAGCCCCAGGGGTTGGGGAGATGAGGCATAAAACAACCATGTCTCTACCTAGGGGAGCTGGTGGCATGGCACTGAGGCTATTGTCTGTATGCGTGCTGTTTGACTTAAATGTGTTCATTTGCCTGATGCCCCTGACTCCCTACGGGGAGGGGCGGCACGCGGAGAGGAGGGGCACGCTAACGAACCTCTGACAGCTGGAGGCCCTAATTAAACGTCCCTGCTGAAAATAAACAGAGTGAGAGCCAAGCATGCAGCCAGAGAAAAACGCACGGCAAACAGCGACTGCGAGCGCTCGACGCAGTGCCCTCCGCTCTGTTACTGCTGAGACCGTGCCAAGAGAGCACGGCTCTATAGGGTAGGGGTCTCAAGCACACACTCTTATACACACAACATACACCACACTTATGAATATGTAGCACTGCAGCAACACATTGCAAACACCTGCGGTCACACTTGATACAGGTTGATCCCTCCAGCTGTGGGCGCTGTATATTTTTACCCAAGTGCTTTCAAAAGTCACACTTTCCTTTCTCTATATATATTTCCCACTGTGCCGTTACAGAATAAGTCGACTCAGCTCTATTGAGCGAATTGTTTCACACTCTGTCTAGATGACACTTCTGACATTCAGTCTGTTGTGCTGCTAGCTAGCCGGAGCATTAGCAGTCAAAGTAACGGGGTCCATTTGGGTGAGTGCATTAATGGGCCGCCCAACCTGCGACAAGGTTATGAGGTTGATTGAATAATTACTGTGGAGGCCCCTGTCCATTACGCCCCTGTGTCTGCCCAGATAGAGGGAGACGCAGAGAGAGATGCCGAGATAGTTTGTGACCGAACGATGTAGGGAGAGATTAGATAAGCACAGATAGGGTCAATTAAGAGATAAACATTAAGGTATGGAACGAGAAAAAGGCTGTGCATGTGTGTGGGTTTGTAAGGCAGTGACAATTGAAGAGTAAATTGTTTCCTGCCTTGTTTCTCCCTTTGATCTCTCCGTTGGACTGTATGCAGCCTAATTTGGCATGTAGTGCATTTATCCAGGTGAGATAGAGAAGGTGACAAAGGTGAAGTTGTTAGACAGAGGTGAGCTGCCCTCTCCTCGACCCTGTCTTCTCTTCAGCAGACTCTCTGAAAAGAGGACTGTCAATGATGCGGGCTGCAAGCTTGAGAGGAAAAGATATAGGTTTCGTATAGTTGAGTGAAGCCTTAGTGTTAAACATAAACCTTGGACAAAATATTCTGTCAATGAGAGGATCATGGGAAGAGGTTAAATGTAAGGCTGGAATATTAACTAGATTGATCATGTATCTTACTGACTTAAGTGCGCAATCAATTGTTAAGTAAATCATCCGAATCCCATATAATACAACTTTAAAGAGCTACAACAACCTCTGATGTCTGGACATATATTAATCAACAACAGAGCAACCGTTTCAAAAGTCCAGTCTTTAATTAAGCCTCATGTAAATAATAAAATACTGGTGTTTTTTTGAAGAGAAGTTATATTTATCTATGACTGATTCTTTTTTATTTAGATTTTACTTTATTCATTGCCCTGCCCCAAATTTTGTTTTATGATTAAGTACTTTTCAAACTGATTTGGCTTGCAATTGTTAAAATGCTATCATGTAAAACTAAGATGTTGAACATGCTATATATTATACCTGCTAAGCATCAGCATGTTGTCATTGTGAGCATGTTTGCATTTTGCAATAAGCTGTCAGGTCTAAGCATCACTTTGTCTAACAGCCACACTGAGTTGCTACGTAGTGTAGTTTAGTGAGCATTGAGTACACTTTAAAGATCCATTGATGCATGTTTTCTGATCAAATGTTTAATTCTGGAAAGAGATATTGGCAGGAAGTTATTCATATTATAAACTCTTTGTCAGTTCCCATTGAGGCCAAACTTTTCCGCCTTAACTTCTGAAGATAATTGAATGACCCAATCTCTCCTTTCAACAACTATTCTGTCTGTGTCAAATCCCTCATTGACTCTGCTGCCTTTGAAATTGATCTAAGAAGTTTTCATGCATACATTTAATGTTTGCTGTTTTAGCTCAGATTTGTGAAATGATATCTGCCGAACCTGCGTAGCTTCTGCTGACCCCTCTTAGCCAAGGTCAGCATAGCCATGCTCAAACTCTAGACATAATCCATTTTCTACTGCCCCAGCAAAGCTCTGCCGACTTGATTGTGCTGACCCAGGCGGGCCAAAGAAAGAATGAGTTAAAGAGTGAGGGGCAGCTAGAGAGAGAGAGAGGGCATCTCAGGCCCAAGGGCATGACACTGCGGTGCTCGGGGCCACGCTAGCCCTTTAAATGTCAACACAGCACAGAGGAGAGGGAGGGAGGGAGAGAAACGGGTGAGGAGCAGCGCTCTGTTTGAGGACAGGGAGGAATATTGGCAACTTCCACTACAGGAGGGTAGTGCTGGAGGCTGGCAGGAGGCGGCCGTATGTGTGGAGGAGTATTCAGTGCTTTGTCTGTGGAGATGTTTGCTTCAACTTCCACTGCAGACAGGTTTAAATCCTCTCTCAGGGATAAGAGGAGATCTGGTGACTTTCATTTTAATTGTGACCTAATAGGAGGATCATGTTTTGTCTAATGTCTATTACCGTGGGAACAGTCTCTGACCTTTATGTGGGGAAGTACAGTACCTAATTGCTCTCTCTCAACCTCACCGCCTTCTTATTTCTTTATTTTTCTCTGTCTCTGATAGATGAATTAAGAAATCATAGGATGGGTTTTCATCCACGCATTTCAATGCAAATTGTATTCTTTCAAATGTAAAGCCCTTAATGGAAAGGAGATAACATTTCATAATGTTTTTGTTATTGAAAAAAGGCATAAGCTCACACCAAATTAAAAAAGTATTATGTCGTTAAATACATTTTGCTGGAAACATGTTTGATTATCAAAATGCCCCTTTAAACGTTATCATCAAAATGCCATGTGTGCTGCCCTTTTACTGTTTTATGGCCATTATTGGTGATCATTCACTAACACCTTTTCCTAACTTTTTTTTGTGTGTTTCTCCTCTGCTATCCAGGTCTGAGTCCGTCACTTCCTCAACCAATCAGAGCCTTCGTTAACAGCGGCGTCGGCACTTGATTGGGAGAAGGATGGCAACCATGCCGTTTGTCAGCGAAGGGAAGTGTGTGAGTGTGGAGTGGGATTTCCTACAAGGACTACTGGCCAAGCCTCCCACCCTTCCCTGGTGAGACAGGACACACACACACACACACACACACACACACACACACACACACACACACACACACACACACACACACACACTCACAACACACACACTGGCTGATACTGTATAAGCCTGCGTGCATGGCGATGAATTAATCTCCGCAAGGTGAAATCCATGCATTAACACTCTTGCTCACACTGACAGCCTGAAGAAGAATTTCCTATCAATGAAACACAATCCAGAAGACATAAGTCTGATCTCCTCAGTGCTACACATAACCTGTATTGTTGCCCACCTGCCAATCCTGTCAGCGCTGTGAATCCCCTCCCCTTAGTGGGAGATTAAGTACATTTGGCTGGAATTATTAATGGGCAGTCATTTATAGGCGGATATAAAAACTAAGCAGAATCAATGTGTGTGTATTGATTGTTCTCGGTGGCTGGGGTCGAGGCAGTATAATAATGAGATGTTACAGAGGGCTAGCAGCATGAGTCCACAACACACACACACACACACACACACACACACACACACACACGCACTGTTTTCACTTATTAGGAAATAGCAGGGAGAAACACAACAGCTGTGTCAGCTGATTAAGATATAAACATGTACACACACTATGTACATCCCTTTTCTTTGTTCTATTTTTTCTTTCACACACACACACACACACACACACACACACACACACACACACGCATACACACATACACACACACACACACACACACACACACACACGCATACACACATACACACACACACACACACACACACACACACACACACACATACATACCACTGGTGGTCTTTCTTAGGATGAGAATCAACAACACAGACATGAGGGAGAAAGAGTGGTTCTTCTTTCTCCTCTAGATCTCATTCTCACTCTCTCTCAAATGCAGACACACACACACACACACACACACACACACACACACACACACACACACACACACACACACACACACACACACACACACACTTTATTCCAGCGCAGCACCGGCACAAATTGTGAAGTGGCTGTGACAACATAATTCCACCACTCAGGCCCCATTGAAGAGAGTCAATACCCAATCAGAGAGACAGGCTACCTGAGCCCCGGCCCCCCTCTGTCACTCTGCCCCTCCCTCTCCTATTGATCCCTCAATCACGGCTTCAGCTCACTAGCCCGGGACCAGATGAGAGAGAGAGAGGGTGAGAGCGGGGGGTTTGAGGGAGAAAGGGGTGAAGAGGGAAAAATATACAGCGAGAGATCGTGTGTGTGTTCACATATGGATTGTGTTGCAAATTGTGTTGCAAAAGGACTTTTCCCTGCCATATAGAAGAAGGTGATCTGGCGGTAATTACCAGGCCAATCTGCAAGAGAGATTATTTCACTTGAATTGCAAGAGCCATTACTTTATACGTACTGTATTTATGAAATGAGTTTTCTGGATTGATGCTCAGGTGATTTAAACAGGGCATGAATCAATCAACAGGTGGTCAGTACTAGTTTCTCCCTCTACAGTGCTGATCCAGAGTATTTTCTCTGTCCTTCTCTTCTTTTCTCTCCACCCTTTGTTCATATATTTCTTCCATTAACACACCTTCCTCTTGTTCACCTCTCAGTCTCCAGAACTTGCGTAAAGAGAAGTCTCGCAATGCGGCTCGTTCGCGGCGGGGGAAGGAGAATTTTGAGTTCTTCGAGCTGGCTAAGATGCTGCCTCTGCCCGGGGCGATCACCAGCCAGCTGGACAAGGCCTCGGTCATCCGGCTGACCATCACCTACCTGCACATGCGCACCTTTGCCAACCAGGGAGACCCGCCCTGGATCTCTCGGATGGACGGAGACATAAACTGCAGCAAAGGTGAGCGAATGGGGAAAGTAAGACCACTGTAAAGCAATACTGCAAAGAAAACTGCATTTAAAGGTGGGGTAGGTAAGTTTGAGAAAACGGCTCGAGATACACTTTTTGTTATATTCCATGGAATGCTCTTAACATCCCGATAGCAATGTATATCTTAAGAGCTTTGACAAAAAATCCATAAAAAAATGTCATCTGTGGAAGCCGTAGTACTGTAAAAATCAGTTTTCCGGCTAAACGGATTGGATTGCCGCCCTGTCTGTCAGCCTTCCATCTCGTGCACGCACAAATGTATCTCGTGCCCTCATTGGGCATGCATTGCAGCAGTACTTCAATGACTCGCCAGCAACAGGCGGCCACTTTCACCAGTCTGCTGACGTCATGTGCGCGTTCATGTGTGTTGGAGGAGGTGCTCTGTAAGGAAGTCTGAAGGAAGGGGCGGATTCTTTTCGGCTGTGTACTTTCAAATTTTAGTGCACTCGAGCCGGTTTCTGAAACTTACCTACCCCACCTTTAATTGCATTGGAACCAAAGAAAACATGTCTTATTGAACAACTTTTTTAAAGATGGTGTTTAGAAAAATGGTGTCTGCACTTAACACTTTTTTGTTTCTTGCTTTACATTGACTTTGACTGCAGTCATGCGGCCCCTACATTGTATTTGAGCTCTGTCTAAACTATATGATGAAATATATGGTAGGAGACGGGTCGTAGCTACTGCTTAGGTCACTGAGGTTATGTCCTTGTTACATTCCTTGAGAATTTGAGGCTTTAGCAACCTAGGAAGTTAGCATTCTACATTTTATTGACTTGCATAAAAATCTAAATAATAAAATATATTCAGCCTTTTCTCTGGGTGAGGGAGACATGGACTTATCGCCAAAGTATTTTTTAAAAAAAATGTTGCTACAGAAAATTATTTGTCAAATATTTAAACCTTTAATTGACTTTGCAAATGGCTGTAAGTAAGTAGGTAAATGAAACACAACTCTAATTGATCACTTTCAGCTCAGGTTTTACACAGTTCAGCCCAGTAGTATAGGCAGAAATGTACTTTAGGGCGGGCCTGTATAAAATAGGGTGGGCCAGCTTTTTCCAGGGGGAAAAATGACTTTAAAGTAGGCCTGGCCTATAATAATAATATATAATAATGCCCATTGCCAAGCATCGTTGTAGCATTTCCCTCCGAATAATGGTCGAAGACTTGACTGATGATATGAATTTATTGAAATCTCCAATATCAACGTAAGAGCTATAAAGACACAAAAATAACAAATACATTTAGGCTCCATTCGTATTAGAATCACTTTAGCATACTACCAAAAGTGAACTGGAAACAGACAGCAAAGCTACAAAACAGCATACAAACGAATTAGGACAAAACCTACGTTTTTATATTATAGTTAATACCAACCTTGTTCCTCTTCGGGGGTGCTAAACTTAACATAAACTTTATCCTTTACTTTCTCCGTCTTTATATGTAGATTAATCTCCGCTCCTTTTCTCCGTCACGTTGTTTCCATAGCAACAACAACTTCCTGTCAACAGCGTAAACTCGCCTTCAAAATAAAAGCATCTAAATAACATAGGAAGTTAACCTAAATGACATTTAAGACATATTTACAACTGCAACGAAAGTAACAAAAACAATGTAATATCCTTTTCAGTTTCACAGAACACAAATTGGGTTATTTACAATCGTTATGTAACTCTTTTATTGCACTAGGTAACAGGAACAATAGGTTGTAGCATTCAAACCTGCTCATGGACTTGCCGTGGTCCTCGCTTTTTTTATGTCTCTCCAACGAGTTACGCAGGTGCTTCCAGTCTACATATCCATCCCTTGTAAATGTACCTTCAGCTCCTGGGCTGGGGAAATGTCTGCACATTTGACAGAAAAGCGCATCCCTGCAGGCAGCTCTCTGCCTCTCTCACGTTACTATGGCGCGCGCCGGAACCAACAACCAGTTTTTACCATAAATGAGTTCGGTTCAGAGGATAAAACACATACAACATTAATTCAACTCGATATTTGTTCACTTGAATTTCACTTTGAATGCTTGGATATTCTCAATGGTTGAATACATTTTTTTATAATAATAATAAAAAAATTAAAATGTACACCCAAGCTTTCTCAGCTTTTTTACCCAATTAGTAAACTGGGTGGGCCTGGGCCACCCTATGGTGGCTACGCCACTGGTTCAGCCTCTAATAAAATTATAAACTAGAGATAAATACGCTGATGTTTTTTGATAATTGACACAAACCACTGAAATCTATGCATCCATCTAACATCTCCAAACCCTCAGCAGTCTGATACACCCACTAACTCCCACCCACAGACACCCAATGCCACAAAAATCCTGTTCGGACCAGGACGATTATCCAGTCCTCTAATGGCGACGATAATTACATGTGCTGTGTATGTGATGTAAACATGTGTCACAAGCCTGTAAACATACATGTTCATATAATCATACAAAGACTTCCCATAGGCTACTGTGGGTTTGAATTCATGTGTTGCGTGTGAGTTTGTGTGTGTTGGATAGAGGATAAACAAAGAGGGAGGAAACTATTGGTGTGATTTGTAATTACGGAAATTAACTATATAACGAGGACAGTGTAATTATAGTGCCCGTCTAATTGCTACTATTACTGAGGGGAAACGATGCAGCTACAGTACAATTAGAGGTTTGTGTGTGTGTGTGTTCATGCCTGTTCTTGTCTAATTTGAGGAAATATGAGCAAAAAACATGTGGCTTGATGTACCACACAATCCTGTTAAGAATAATGGCTTGATATATGAGTTGGGATGGTATTACCAAAACAAAAGTCATTTTTTTAACAGACTACCCAGGTTTAAACTTGTGGTAGAGAGTTTGAAATACATGGTATTTACCAGATAGGGATTCTGTAGCGTAACATAAATTAAAAGTCAGAATATATGCTGCTTGGATTTCGACCAACATTTTTTAATCTTTCTTCTGTAAGCCATTCCAGTATGACCGCAGCTGTCGTGCACATGACCCCGAAACGGAAGCAGCTATAGGGAATTCAGCCACATTAGTTTTATTATTCACACATTTAAAAATGTCTGAATTGAAAAGTACACATGCACTGTATTGATTTATTTGCCAGGATCAAGTAAGGTAAATAGATTGTTTGCTTAATGCAAATATGACAAAATTGAATGTGTAGTATTAGTATACTTTAAAGGTGGGGTAGGTAATTTTGGAGAAACCAGCTCGAGTGCGCTAGAATTTGAGAATATACAGCCGGAACAAATCTGCCACTTCCTTACAGAGCCCCTCCTCCAACACACATGAACGCGCACATGACCAATGAGGGCACGAGATAAGTTTGTGCACAGATGGAAGGCTGACAGGCAGGTAGGCCATCCAGTTATTTTAGCCGGGCCGGCTAAAATGATTGGTCGTGCTTTTTACAGCGCCACGGCTTCCACAGATGACTTGTTTTTATGGATTTTTTGTCAAAGCACTTAAGATATTCATTGCTATCGGCATGTTAAGAGCATTCCGTGGAATATAACAAAAAGTGTATCTCGAGCCGGTTTCTCAAATTTACCTACCCCGCCTTTAAGTACAAAGTACACAATTAGTAGTTAAACTGGACCTGAGACAAAGTAAAACAAATCTCCTTAAGCTTTTGGTTTTTACATTATTTTTAAATATTTGGCATTTTTGAATATTCAGTGCTCCTTTCTCATTTCAGTCTTTGCTTAGAAATGATTGGGGTTTAATATCCAGCTATACATATCTGACCATTATAAGCAAGACCTCACTGTAAACCAAGAGCGTTTTTATATTGTATAACATTAACACGGTGAGCCCTGATCTTTAGCTACAGTATTTGAAAATATACATCATTAAGAGAGAATTCATTGAGATCCATCAATATTTAATTATCCATGCAGCACTGCACAATCTGGATGTTGGAGTGATATCTATGCACTATGCACTATCACACGTACGGACAGCCGCGGCCTTGACTGGGCTCTGCAAGTAGTGAATTGTTTTGCCTTGGTTTTCCACGCTTTGCTTTGGCCTTGATATAAAATATCTGTTTAGTAAAGAAGGTGTGCAGGTAGCCGTGCTGTCCTGTTGGTGCTAGAAAGACAATTGTGAGTTATGCTGCTTACACTACAATGACAAACACCTCTGGTACAAATGTGAACCATAACTGTAAATATATAGATTCCTGCAGCAGCCACGAGAAGGTCAAGGAAAATTCTGAGGTACTTGAAAAACACAACACATCTCTGCTCAGCTACAATAGCTATTACCGTCTGAATTATCCTCAACATTTCTTCCACTCGAGCGAGATCTGATATCTTGGAGTATTTTATGAAATGTTTGGTGATTTTTACAAGCAGGTCACACAGTCTCAGCGATGCCAAGGCTGAAAAATGCCATGCTAATTTGGACATCAGTTCGAACAAGTCTACCCAGAATGCATTGGCAGGGTTTTAAGTGTGATGCATGACTTTAATTCCGTTAGTGGAATTTGGTCAGAGATCCAGCTGAAAGAGAGAGGAGGAGGGAAAGGAGGGGAAGGGACAAATGCAGAAGGAATAAGGAATAGAAAGGAGGAGAGGAAGGAGAGGGGTGTGGGGAGAGAGGGGGTGGGGTGAGTTGCATTCCTCCGCTATCCCTCTTGTCCGAGGGTTTTTGGACGGGCGAGGGCCAGGAACGTGGAGGAGAGGGATGGAGGGCAGGGGAGGGGCCGGTGTGGCTTTTGTCTGCTTCCCACGTTTCAAAGCCAGTCTTGAAAAATGAATAGACAGAGGAAAATCAATTGCATGACCTTCACAGAGAGAAAGAGAGAGAGATTGAGAGAGCAGGAGAGGGGGAAGAAGGAGGAGAGAGAGGCAGATTATGGAAGGAGGGAGCAGACGGAAAGGAAAGGCTGAAGGGAGGAAAAGTAAAATGACCCATGATATTCATTCCGTGTGTGTGTGTGTGTGTGTGTGTGTGTGTGTGTGTG